GACTCGCTATTGACTCGACACACACACATTCGACATCACGACTCATCATTCACACACTATTATAAGCATGAAATATATTTTATCTCATGCCCTCATACCATTCCATGCACACACGCATGCACGCACACGGACAACAAGCCAAGTGCAAACCGTAGGGTTGCACCAACAAACTCCCCCTCGGATTGTTGGCGTTAGGATCTGTTGCTCTCAGTTCAGAGCCATCCCAGCCAGCTTGCAACACTTCCAATACTGTTGCTCCACCAGCCTCTTGGTCATCATGTCTGCCGGCTGCCCCGTCGTCTTCACCCGCGGCCACCATGCTCCTCGTCCAATGCCACTTCACCCTCATGTGTTTCGTGAGGCCATGCAACACAGGGTTCTTAGCAAGAGCAATGGCACCCTGGATGTCACAGTAGAGTGGGGTAGGTCCTTGCTGCTCCTCCCCCAATTCAGCCAACAAACGCCGTTGCCACACAATCTCCTGTACGACACGGAAGAGTGCCATGTACTCGGACTCCACCGAGCTCAATGCTTGATCAACATGCTTCTTGCTCTCCCAAGCAGTTGGGCCTCCACCAACACAGCAGCTGAAGCCTCCCACACTTGTCATGTTCTCAGGTTCCGATGCATAAGAGGCATCGGAGAATGCGGTGAGGAACAAACGCCCGGGTTCTACACCATCCGCGCCCTTTTGGCGCCTTTGCGCCGCCGCCGAGTATTGCAGCCCAACGGTCGGTGTTTGGCCAAGGTACTTGGCCAACCTCATTCCAGCTGCTACCTGCTCCTCATTAGGGCATTGCACAACCCTAGCTAACTCCTCGGTAGCCAAGGCAACGTCCGGCCGAGTGTTGACCGCCGCATACATGAGGCTGCCCACCAGTGAGTGAAAACGGCGCCTCTCTTCTTCGTCAACGCTCTCCTCCTCTGGTCCCTTCACACACTTGAACCCAGAGGGAAAGGGTGTAGCCACATGGCCTTCACTCTGCCCAAAGTTGGCAGCCAAGGCCTTCAGGTACTTCCGTTGATGCATTCGCATGCTCCGCTTGTCCACATCACGTTCAATGTGAAGCCCGAGGTAGAAGTTCACGTCACCAAGGGCCTTGCACTTGAACTTGTCCTGAAGCTTCAGCATCACCTCCTTCACAAGGTCAGAGGAGGGTGAGAATATGAGGATGTCATCCACATACACCACCATGAAGCTCCTCTGCTCCCCCTCGCCAAGCATGAACAAGGAGTGATCGGCCGTTGAGGGAGTGAAGCCGATCTCCTCCAAAACTTCTCGCAGCTTCAAGTACCACTGCCTAGGGGCCTGCTTCAGCCCATAGAGGGCCTTCTTTAGCTTCAAAACTCTGCCACTACCATCATCAAACCCCTCTGGCTGCGCCAAGAAATTCTCTTCTTCGAGGATGCCGTTGAGAAACGCGGTTGTCACGTCCATCTACTTCATGACCCATCCTTTGATGGCAGCCCCCGCGAGTAGGGTCCGCAGCGTCGTCGGTTTCACCACAAGAGCAAACAACTCCTTGAAGTCCACCTTCTCCTTCTGCTGATACCCCTTGGCCACAAGCCTAGACTTGTAGCGCTCGATCTTGCCGTCGGTGTCCGACTTGATCTTGAAGAGCCACTTGGACGTAATCGCCTTACGCCCCTCTGGTAGCTCCACCAATTCCCACGTGTCGTTCTCCTCAATGCTCTTCAACTTGCTCTCCATTGCCTTCTTCCACTCCGCAGCATCTCTACTCTCCAAGGCCTCCTTGAGAGTTGCTGGTTCCCCCGGCATCTCCACCGGAGAGAAGAACACGAAGGCACACTCCTCGTAGTGGCTTTCCTCATCATCTCCGACCATCATTGCCGCTCCGGCCAGGGCTGACTTGCCCTGCTTTCCCGGTGCATCATAGATCAGCATATTTGGGCCTTGAACTCTCCTCTTGCCCCTTCCTTCCTCCTCAGCTGCAGGGGCTTGAAGGCTTGCATGGCGTTGCTGCGGGGTGACTCGAATCCGTGGAGCGCTCGCAGTGCGAGAAGGAAGTGTCGGTGCACGCTCGCTTACTTGCTGCACCTCCTCCTCTTCTTCCTCTGCATCCTTGGCCTCCTCTCCCCCATTCACAAGGGAAGATTGCCTTGTGGTGGTGCCGCCGCTGCTCAGCTCCGAAGGCAGCTCCACATGCTCCAAACCGGAACTCTTCACCTCCCCAAACCGCACGCCTATCTTCGCCTCATTCTCCGCCTTCCATTCCTTGTACATCAGGTTCTCCATGAACTTGCAATCCCTTCTCACCAAGAACTTCTTAGTGAATGGGTCCCAAAAAAGCCACCCCTTGCTTTTTTGAGCCATGCCCAAGTGCACAGCCCATATCGCTTTGGCACCAAACTTGTTGTGCCGAAGATGCTTAGGTACGAGCGCCATACACATGCACCTGAATACCCGAAGCATATCCACCTTAGGCTTCCTTCCGATCCACTCCACATAGGGCACCCATTTGTCTGCTCCCACATGAGTCAAATCTGTGTTCTTGGCCACACACGCACTCCGGACCGCATTAGGCCAGAAGTAGTCGGGTAGCCCGGCTTCAATGAGCAACCTGCGTGCCGTCTCCGTGATTGTGCGGTTCGCTCGCTCGGCGATGCCGTTCATTGCAGGGGAGTATGGCATGGTGAGGGAGTGCCTTATCCCATTCTTCTTCAGCCACAATGAGAACTCCTTGCTCAGGAACTCTCCCCCTCGATCGGTGCGGATTGACTTGACTAGCCGGTCTTGTTGCCGCTCCACCATCAGCAACCAATCGGTCTTCACCGTTTCAGCCACGTCGCCCTTCTTGGACAGCACGTACACCCAGGTCATTCGGGTGTAGACGTCGACAATGGTGAGGAAGTACTCTGCTCCAGCAGCTCCTAGCTTCAAGGGGCCCACCACGTCCATCACCACCTCATCAAGTGGTGCCTTAGCCGTTGCCTCTGAAGTCGAGATCAGGAAACAGGTGAACTTAGCTTGCATGCACGTCGGGCAGCCAAGTACCTCATCGGGCTCCCCCTTCCCGCGTATGCCAGAAACCATCTCATTCTTCACTAGCTGCTGCAAGATTGGCAGGGCGACATGCCCCATTCGCCGATGCAAAGTCAACCAATCACACTCCCCCGTAGCCGAAGTCGGATTGGAGAATTTCCCGCTCGCAATAGTGCCCCACATGCTCTCTCCGTACTCCTCCTCCGCTGCTGCCTTGGGGTTCTCCTCACCCTTGTGCTGCTTCTTGGCTACTGCACCACTCTCCTTGTGTTCACCGAGCTTGCTGGTCCCTCCAAGATTGCACTTCTTGGACTCATTCTCCTTAGCGCGACTGTTCGCGCCATCGCCGCTACCAACCGCTTCACCCTTGGTGCTGACGCTTGCTGCCACTTGCCTCTCCTTAGGCATTGGGACCACAGGGATCTGCCACATCTCATTGTAGACATCCCTATCCTCGTGAAGGTCCCATAGAATCCGCTCGCCAAGCCTCACGGTGTAGGTCTTGGCTCCCTTCAAGCTCGTGTCCATGCCGGCCTTTTGCAACCCACGCACAGAAATCAGATTGGCAGCAAGGTTGGGCACCCAAAGAACGTTCTTGAGGCCCACCATCTTCCCATCAGCACCCTTGAACCTGCCCTTGCCCATGCCTTTCACCTCTGCTCGCTGCCCCAAAGCAGATGTGACATGCTTCACCAGTGACTGTTCGAGTTCGGTGAGCAAGTCCGCGCGAGGTGTCATGCTATAGGTAGCGCCGCTGTCAATAACCCAACAGTCCAGGGAGAGTAGGGTCACCTTCCCCACAGCAGCTGGCTTCTCAAAGCCTTCATCCTTCTCTGGATCAGCCGGTGCTTGCGTCAAGACGTAGAAGAATTGGCCCGGAAAGCGATCGTCCCTCGACTCGCTCTCGTTGTCGTCACTCTTCATATTTGCAGCACCACCTCCGCGACCGCCACGGCCTCCACGGCCTCTTCCTCTCCCTCCTCCTGCTCCCCTACCCTCTTGGCCTTGAGCAGTGGTCCATCCATCAGGGAGTTTGTAGCAATTGCGCCACATATGTCCGCTCTTGTGGCAATAGTGGCACTCGCCGTCGAATCGGCCGCGACCGCGTCCGTAACTCTTGTCGTCGCTGCCATATTCGCCACTCCCGCGGCCTCCATTGAAGTTGTTGCTGCCAAATCTGCCTCCCCCTCGTCCTCTGCCCCTTCCACGGCCGTACCCACGGCCGATGCTTGCTGCCCCGGCGCCATGCGAACCCGCCAACTCACGGCGGCGGAAATCCTCTTGAAGGATAGCTCGCTTCACGTCTTCAAGCGAGAGGCGGGGCAGATCACGGTTGAGGTTGATGATGAGGGAGGACCATGACTCAGGGAGTAGGGCCAGCAACTTGGTCTTCTTATGGAGCTTAGGGTGTGTTGAATCCCCCCTCAGTCCAAGGGGATCAATGTCTTCTTCAGCAGTCCCGTGTGCCCTCACTCTATCACGCTGGCGAGAAAAGGGCAGCTCAGGGAAGGGATCGGCACAAGTGCTTGGCTGCTGCCCGTGCAAAGGACCGGCCAGGGGGGAGACCGCCCTGCCCCGGACAGGAGATGCGTGGAGCTGCCGATATGGGTACGAGGGTGAGGGGATTGGGGAGTGCGTGACGTAGCCTTGTGGAGGGGATTCGACATCCTCTCTTGCTAGTGTGCCGGGTGCTGTAGCAGCGACCTTTGACGGGCCGCTATAAGGCATGAAGAACCGCTGGGCTCCTGTGGATAGCGGGGTAACACTTGCTCTTCCGGCCCCTCTCGTTAGCTGTATCGGTTGCACGCTTAGCGGTGGCCCAATCCCAGTAACACGAGGGGCTGAGAGTTATAGGGAGCGTGAGCACAGAGTTAGAGTTGATCAAGTTCAATACAGGGGCACACATGCATGCAAACGAGCAACGATTTGAATCTAAAAAGGGTTTAACAGGGTTCTGTTTTGGAAATAGTGGCCTTACCCTGCTTTGCAGATTCGTCTACCTTGCCTTTCCCTGCAGGGGGAAAAAAAGGGATGTGTGGTGTTAATAGGGACGGTCTAGCACAGACTGGGACAGCCACGCCATGTGTATGGGCCTCAGCGCTTACCTCGCTGCTGGCCCTTCGGTTTAGCTGCCTGCACCTGCTTGTTGACACCTTTCCGCGGGGTGCTTTCGCGACCGCTGCGACGTTTACCGGCAGCTTCTTTCTTGGCCGAGGCCACTGGAACCCCTTTGGCGCGGCCACCCTTTCCTTCGCCATCCCCTTTTGCGCCTTGGCTCCCCCGCTTTCTACCACCCACTTCAGCTTTGACCTTCACTTTACGCGCCTTCGATTTGTCCGCTGCTTCGCCACGCAGTGCGTCAACTGCCCCGCGTTTCCGGGAAGGACGAGTCTGGCCCCCCACCTTCCCTGTACCACTCCCCTGTCTGCCTCGTGCTCCCCGGCCCTTCACTGTCGCCACATCCTCCTCCTCCTCCTCCTCCACCTCCTCCTCCTCCTCCTCCTCCTCCTCCTCCTCCTCCTCCTCCTCCTCCTCCTCCTCCTCCTCCTCCTCCGTATCCTCCGTATCCTCCTCCGCATCCTCGTCCTCCTCCTCCTCCTCCTCCTCCTCCTCCTCCTCCTCCTCCTCCTCCTCCTCCTCCTTCTCATCATCATCCTCATCTTTTTCCTCCTCTCCCACCTCCGTGTCCTCCTCCTCTGCATCCCGGGTTCTACACCATCCGTGCCCTTTAGGCGTCTTTGCGCCGCCGCCGAGTATTGCAGCCCAACGGTCGGTGTTTGGCCAAGATACTTGGCCACCCTCATTCAAGCTGCTACCTGCTCCTCATTAGGGCATTGCACAACCCTAGCCAGCTGCCCGGTAGCGAAGGCCACGTCCGGCCGAGTGTTTACCGCCGCATACATGAGGCTGCCCACCAACGAGTGAAAACGGCGCCTCTCCTCTTCACCAACGCTCTCCTCCTCTGGTCCCTTCATACACTTGAACCCAGAGGGAAAGGGTGTAGTCACATGACCTTCACTCTGCCCAAAAATGGCAGCCAACGCTTCCAGGTTCTTTCGTGGTGCACCCGCATGCACCGCTTCTCCACGTCGCGTTCGATGTGGAGCCCGAGGTAGAAGTTCACGTCGCCAAGTGCCTTGCACTTGAACTTGTCCTGAAGCTTCAGCATCACCTCCTTCACAAGGTCAGAGGAGGGTGAAAAGATGAGGATGTCATCCACGTACACCACCATGAAGCTCCTCTGCTCCCCCTCGCCAAGCATGAACAAGGAGTGATCAGCCGTTGAGGGAGTGAAGCCGATCTCCTCCAAAACTTCTCGCAGCTTTAAGTACCCCTGCCTAGGGGCCTGCTTCAGCCTATAGAGGGCCTTCTTCAGCTTCAAAACTCTGCCACTACCATCATCAAACCCCTCTGGCTGCGCCAAGAAAATCTCTTCTTCGAGGATGCCGTTGAGGAACGCGGTTGTCACAACCATCTGCTTCACCACCCATCCTTTGATGGCAGCCCCCGCGAGTAGGGTTCGCAGCGTTGTAGGCTTCACCACATGAGCAAACAGCTCCTTGAAGTCCACCTTCTCCTTCTGCTGGTACCCCTTGGCTACAAGCCTAGACTTGTAGCGCTCGATCTTGCCGTCGGCGTCCGACTTGATCTTGAAGAGCCACTTGGACGTAATCGCCTTATGCCCCTCCGGTAAATCCACCAATTCCCACGTGTCGTTCTCCTCAATGCTCTTCAGCTCACTCTCCATGGCCTTCTTCCACTCCTCAGCATCAATACTCTCCAAGGCCTCCTTGAGAGTTGCTGGTTCTCCCGGCATCTCCACCGGAGAGAAGAAAACGAAGGCACACTCCTCGTAATCGCTTTCCTCGTCATCTCCGACCATCAGGGTTGAACTCTCATCTTGCCCCTTCCTTCCGCCTCAGCTGCAGGGACTTGAAGGCCTTGGCGTTGCTGCGGTGTGGCTTGGATCCGTGGAGCACTTGTAGTGCGGGAAGGAAGTGTCGGTGCACGCTCGCTCACTTGCTGCACCTCCTCCTCTTCTTCCTCTGCATCCTTGGCCTCCTCTCCCCCATTCACAAGGGAAGATTGCCTTGTGGTGGTGCTGCCGCTGCTCAGCTCCAAAGGCAGCTCCACGTGCTCCAGGTCGGAACTCTTCACCTCCCCAAACCGCATGCATATCTTTGCCTCGTTCTCCGCCTTCCAATCCTTGTACATGAGGTCCTCCATGAACTTGCAGTCCCTGCTCACCATGAACTTCTTGGTGAATGGGTCCCAAAGAAGCCACCCCTTGCTGTTTTGAGCCATGCCCAAGTGCACGCGCATGCCGAAGTTGGATTGGAGAATGCCGCGCTCGCAATAGCGCCCCACATACTCTCTCCGTAGTCCTCCTCCGCTGCTGCCTCGGGGTTCTCCTCACCCTTGTGCTGCTCCTTGGCTGCTACACCATTCTCCTTAGGATGACCGAGCTTGCTGGTCCCTCCAGGTTTGCTCTTCTTGAGCTCGTTCTCTTTGGCACGATCGTTTGAGCCATAGCCGGTACCAACCGCTTCGCCCTTGGTGCTGATGCTTGCTGCCACTTGCCTCTCCTTAGGCATCGGGACCACAGGGATCTGCCATATCTCGTTGTAGACATCCCTATCTTCGTGAAGGTCCCATAGAATCCGCTCGCCAATCCTTGCGGTGTAGGTCTTGGCTCCCTTCGAGTTCGTGTCCATGCCGGCCTTTGCCAATCGCCGCACGGAAATCAGGTTCGCAGCAAGGCTGGGCACCCAAAGCACGTTCTTGAGGCCCACCATTTTTCCATAAGCACCCTTGAACATGGCCTTGCCCATGCCTTTCACATCTGCTCGCTGCCCCAAAGCCGATGTGACATGCTTCACCAGTGACGGTTCAAGTTCGGTGAGCAAGTCTGCGCGAGGTCTCATGGTATAGGTAGCGCCGCTATCGATCACCCAATAGTCCAAGGGGTGTAGGGTGACCTTTCCCACAGCTGCAGGCTCTTCGAAGCCTTCATCCTTCTCTGGATCAGCCGGTGCTTGCGTCGAGACGTAGAAGAATTGACCCGGAAAGCGATCGTCCTTCGACTCGCTCTCGTTGTCACCGTTCTTCATATTTGCAGCACCACCTCTGCAACCGCCTTGGCCTTGACGGCCTCTTCCTCTCCCTCCTCCTGCTCCTCTACCCTTTTGGCCTTGAGCAGGGGTCCATCCATCTGGGAGTTTGTAGCAATCGCGCCACATATGTCCGCTCTTGTGGCAATAGTGGCACTCGCCGTCGAATCAGCCGCGACCGCATCCGTAACTCTTGTCGTCGCTGCCGAATCCGCCACTCCCGCGGCCTCCATTGAAGTTGTTGCTGCCAAATCTGCCTCCCCCTCGTCTTCTGCCCCTTCCACGGCCGTACCCCTGGCCGATGCTTGCTGCCCCGGCGCCATCCGCACTCGCTAAATCACCGCGGCGGAAGTCCTCTTGAAGGATAGCTCGCTTCACGTCTTCGAGCGAGAGGCGGGGCAGATCATGGTTGAGGTTGATGATGAGCGAGGAGCATGACTCTGGGAGTAAGGTCAGCAACTTGGTCTTCTTCTGGAGCTCACTATAGTTGAGATCTGCTCCTTCAAGCCGCGTCAACAAGTCGAAGAATTTCTGCACCCCTTCTTCCACGGGCTCATCTTCTTCAATACGTAGTGTCGTCATTTGTTGTTTCAACACCACCGCTACCGCCGCTGTTGCAAGAGCATGTACACTCTTGAGAGCAACCCATGCCTTTGGTCCCTTCTCTTGTTCATGCTGGAATGGCTTGATGTGACGGATTTGGCTGCTCCCCAACGCTTGCCCAAGTAGGAGATAGCCTTGTGCGCTCTTCCACACCCACGGGCTCTTAACCGGGTCATTCTCAGGACGCTTCTCCGTTCCTTCCATCACCTCCAGCAGGTCATAGTGGTCAAACACGTTCTCCATTCTGAAGGACCATTCGGCAAAGTTGTCACCATTGAACTTGTCAAGCCTGAACACTCTTGGTTCATCCCTAGAAGGGCCAAGAGTAGGTTGCATGGGCGCCATGGCTGAATCACGGGGTTGGCCTTATACTTGGGGTCCTCCACTGCCTCCAGCACCTCTGTCACCCCTTTCTTCAGGTCCAGCCATTGTCGTAGCTGCTCCAAGGCGCTCTGATACCACTTGTTATAGTCACAATAGGCTCAAATGTGCCTAAAACGAAAGATAGAGTGCACAGTCGGATTTCTGCACAGCGGCTTTAAATGTTCATGGCGATCTGGTCACAGATTTAAATGACCTGATTCAACATGGATCTGGAGCGCCTTAACGTCACCTACAATAGGCAATTTAGATTGCACGATTTCATCAAGTATTGACGACACAGCGTTGGTTTGAACGAACGGCACCATGGCAGCCACTATAGTCTTAGAACACAAATTAGGAAGAGTTACGAGTTGGGAATGACTCCCAGCTCCTACAAACCCCAAGAGCCGAGGTACAGTGATGTGGAATAGTGCCACACTGTCCCCAACCACGAAGAGTCTCGAAACTACCCTTCACAAGGGCCTACACCAAGTGAAATGTTACACTACACAAAGTAATGTAACTATTCTCATTATCTTGAGGTGTACCATTTTTTTTCGCGGGCTTCGCGATCACTTGAATCTTGAAACCAAGGCTCTGGTTCTTCATCATAAACTCATCCTTGAGTTCTTGATGGGTCTGCTGCACACACCTGCGACACGCCGAACGTTCCACACACGACAAAATAGAAACCGCGCGAGACACACAAACGACGAAATAGAAACCGCGCGGGACACACAAACGACGACGTAGACACGCGACTAGCGATGACTCGCTATTGACTCGATACACATACATTCGACACCACGACTCATCATTCTCACACTATTATAAGCATGAAATATATATTATTTCATGCCCTCATACCATTCCATGCAGACACGCATGCACGCACACGGACAATAAGCCGAGTGCAAACTGTAGGTTGCACCAACAGATGGTGCGTTGAGCGTGGAACGAACACGCATAGATTTCCATCGTCGATATTATTGGAGTTTGTATACTCGCCTTGAAAATTGCGGCGTTAGTGAAGGGCGCATATTAATTTATTTGAACCTCTCTCAATTTCCCTCCAGACGCTCTCGACCCAAGGATAGGGCGTTTGGTGATTTATTACTACTCGTCTGAGGACCCTTGTGAGGTGACCCTGAGACGAGGGAATTAAAGGAAGGGATAATTTATTTTAATTTGTGGCACCTTATAGATGCGTCGTAGAGGATGAGTATGAAGGAGGTGAACGTCGAGACAGGTGGTTTGAGCGCACTAGAGGAGGATCTTCCGGCCTGTTAATCTTGTGGGGAGCTTAGTAATACGGATTACAAGCTCATGTCAGAGTGATTATACTCTCGTAGGCGTTGCGATCATCCCTCGCCCCGTGTAGAGAACGTCGAACAAGCTGTGGGAGGAACTGGTGCGTAACATCACAAAAACCCTATGCCAAGTTTGGATGAATTTTGATTTCGATTGACTTCACGTAAAACAATCCGGACCCAATTTGGACCGACGATTTGAGTCATTTGATAGGAGCAACAAGGTTGGGCAAGAACGACCTCTCCAAGGTCGCCATTGTCGATGAGGAACTTGTTCGGGAAGACGAACGTACCAGGAACCGGATCGTGTTGGATCCTCCGCTCCGCGGCTGCTAAGTGGATCATCTGTTTGACCTTTTTGCACCACTCCAAGTAGTCTAGCCTGTTTTGTTTCCGGGTGGCTACTAATTCGCTTGCAACGCTTATCCTGCAGAAGGGGCCACTTGATATGCAGTGTGGTGTAGGGCTGGGTGGATGGTTTATGGGGAGGTGGGGTTACGGGTAAATGACCCAACTGAAAGCGGTGATTCAGTTGTCACTATCTACGAAACCGCAAAGGCTTAATCGACCAGGGATGGGCTGAAGTACAGGCAAGAGGTTAAGGGGATGAGGCATGGGTGTACAAACAGATATCTACATTCTCACCGAAAACATGCCCCATGCCACCATGCGGCTCTTGAACTTGGTGAACACGACCCCGCCCCTCTTGAAAGAGATCTTGAACGCATAAGCGAACAAGGGGTTGCTGAAGGGAGTCCCGGTGGCCTTCTCAAAGTGCCAGTTGAGGGCCCACTATTCTGCATTTTGGTAGGGAGGGGGGGCGGAGAATGGGTCGCGATACGCTTCAGGGTTTAGGGTTGGGCTATGTTTGCAAGAAGGTGAATGAGTTCACACCGAGAGCGTCACTGGGTGTGATTCTGCCTGCTTAGGATGGGTGGTAAGAGGTATAGGAGAGTGCATGGCTGGGCGTGTGGGGGGGGTGGGGAGGGTTGGTGGGGAGGAGGGGTATGGGTTGCAGCCAATGGGGGGGTTCGCAAGCGAAACTCTGGCAACATAGACTCCTGCAACACCCATGAAGTCAACACCCCTGGCGTGGGTTGGAAAGGGGGTGCAGAGAAAACAAGTGGGGGAATAAGAGTGAGGGTGTGCCACATCGCACGGTGATATGTAGCTGCTAACTGGCGTTTGGTGGGGCATATGGTGTTTTCGAGTTGCACATACCATCTTTGTACTCGGCTAGGAGTTCCTCGTCGTTGAACCACCTCGTTGGGCGTAGCTCACTGGGCAGGCTATCGACGAGATGGCTGAAATCGGCATGGCCCATGCCGGTGTATGCTGCTGGCCTGAGGGTGGAGTTGATTGTTGACCTTGTCAACGACATCTGGTGGTTGAAGACTCCCATGGTTGACTTGTCATTGTGCAACCACAGCAGCTTCATTGACTCAAGCCCTTATGCAGACAAGTGGACAGAGAACGCGTCGAACACTTCCTCTGATGCAGGGTAATACTGTATAGGTTAAGAAACATGAGCTGAGACGTCACTAAGTAGGCTTTTTTCTACGCAGGGGTGTAGGTTATACAACACGACAAGGGAGAGAGAATCAGCTGTTATGATTGTGGCCGCGGGTGGTTAGCAACACTGAGTGAATTTGCCACGTCACACCCACCTGCATCCGCCACGTCATCCACAGCCCAGCCCAATTGCCACGTCACAGCCCCCTAGCACAAGCCACGTCACCCCACACACACCTAACACGCCTCGTCCCGTCATGCGTCGCTCTCGTGTACCCTCCAAACTGCCACGTCATCCCCAACCCTCACCTTTCGCCACGTCACACCCCCCTGCATCCGCCATGTCATCCACAACCCGGTCCAATTGCCACATCACACCCCCCTACCACAAGCCACGTCACCCCCCACCCACCTGACATGCCTCGTCCCGTCTTCTCGTCAGCGCCCGTGTACCCTCCAAACCACACCGTCATCCCCAGCCCTCTACTGTCGCCACGTCACACCCCTCTGCAACCGCCACGTCATCCCCAACCCCGCCCTTTTGCCACGTCACACCCCCTTACCACAAGCCACGTCACCCCCCACACACCTGAAACGCCTCACCCCTGGTGCTCGTCAGCACCCGTGTACCCTCCAAACCACCACATCATCCCCAACCCTCATCTATCGCTACGTCACACCCCCTGCATCCGCCACATCATCCACGACCCGATCCAATTGCCACGTCACACCCCCCTACCACAAGCCACGTCACCCCCCACCCACCCGACACGCATCGTCCCGTCTTGCGCCTGCGCCCGTGTACCCTCCAAACTGCCATGTCATCCCCAACCCTCATCTTTCGCCACGTCACACCCCTCTGCAACTGCCATGTCATCCCCAACCCCCCCCTTTTGCCACGTCACACCCCCCTACCACGAGCCACGTCACCCCCCACACACCTGACACGCCTCGCCCCTGGTGCACGTCAGCACCCGTGTACCCTCCAAACCGCCACGTCATCCCCAACCCTCATCTTTCGCCACGTCACACCCCTCTGCAACTGCCATGTCATCCCCAACCCCGCCCTTTTGCCACGACACACCCCCCTACCACGAGCCACGTCACCCTCCACACACCTGACACGCCTTGCCCCTGGTGCTCGTCAGCGCCCGTGTACCCTCCAAACCGCCACGTCATCCCCAACCCCGCCCGTTCGCCACGTCACACCCCCCTGCATCCGCCACGTCATCCACAACCCGGGCCAATTGCCACGTCACACCCCCCTACCACAAGCCACGTCACCCCCCACCCAACCGACACGCCTCGTCCCGTCAGCGGCCGCTCCCGTGTACCCTCCAAACCGCCACGTCATTCCCAACCCCGCCTTTTGCTACGTCAACCCCAACCCGCCCCATTTGGCCCACGTCTCCTGCAAGAATAGCACTCGTGCCTTGGCCACGGCACTCATCGGCGAGAGTGTACCAGCCATAGGCACCACTGCGCCCCCCCCCGGCATAACTAGCGGGTGCGGCACGAGGCAGGCCGAGCTGAGCAAACATGGCGTACATCTCAGCCGGTAGCACATGGAACTCCTCCCGTGTAACAAACTGCTCCTGCTCCGCACTTTCACCTACGACACCCATGAGATTGGGGTCAGGGTGCGTTGAATCCCCCCTCAGTCCAAGGGGATCAATGTCTTCTACAGCAGTCCCGTGTGCCCTCACTCTATCACGCTGGCGAGAAAAGGGCAGCTCAGGGAAGGGATCGGCACAAGTGCTTGGCTGCTGCCCGTGCAAAGGACCGGCCAGGGGGGAGACCGCCCTGCCCCGGACAGGAGATGCGTGGAGCTGCCGATATGGGTACGAGGGTGAGGGGAGTGGGGAGTGCGTGACGTGGCCTTGTGGAGGGGGTTCGACATCCTCTCCTCCTAGTGTGCCGGGTGCTGTAGCAGCGACCTTAGACGGGCCGCTATAAGGCGTGAAGAACCGCGGGGCTCCTGTGGATAGCGGGGTAACACTTGCTCTTCCTGCCCCTTTCGTTAGCTGCATCCGTTGCACGCTTAGCGGTGGCCCAATCCCAGTAACACGAGGGGCTGAGAGTTATAGGGAGCGTGAGCACCGAGTTAGAGTTGATTAAGTTCAATACAGGGGCACACATGCATGCAAACGAGCAACGATTTGAATCTAAAAAGGGTTTAACAGGGTTCTGTTTTGGAAATAGTGGCCTTACCCTGCTTTGCAGATTCGTCTACCTTGCCTTTCCTTGCAGGGGGGAAAAAAAGGATGTGTGGTGTTAATAGGGACGGTCTAGCACAGACTGGGACAGCCACGCCATGTGTATGGGCCTCAGCGCTTACCTCGCTACTGGCCCTTCGGTTTAGCTGCCTGCGCCTGCTTGTTGACACCTTTCCGCGGGGTGCTTTCGCGACCGCTGCGACGTTTACCGGCAGCTTCCTTCTTGGCCGAGGCCACTGGAACCCCTTTGGCGCGGCCACCCTTTCCTTCTCCATCCCCTTTTGCGCCTTGGCTCCCCCACTTTTTACTGTCAGAGGTCCACTGGTGATCCCCGATTGATCCTAGGGAAGGGTTACAGGCACGTTGGCCTGGGGGGTTATGGGCGCACTAACCCGCTACACAAACAAGCCCTTTCATCCCAATGGTCTAGTGGTTGGGATTCTGACATTTACCACCCCCTTCAGCTTCGACCTTCACTTAACGCGCCTTCGATTTGTCCGCTGCTTCGCCACGCAGTGCGTCAACTGCCCCGCGTTTCCAGGAAGGACGAGTCCGGCCCCCCACCTTCCCTGTACCACTCCCCCGTCTGCCTCGTGCTCCCCGGCCCTTCACTGTCGCCACATCCTCCTCCTCCTCCTCCTCCGCATCCTCCTCCGCATCCTCATCCTCCTCCTCCTCCTCCTCCTCCTCCTCCTCCTCCTCCTCCTCCTCCTCGTCCTCCTCCTCCCCCTCCTCCCCCTCCTCCCCCTCCTCCTCCTCCTCCTCCTCCTCCTCCTCCTCCTCCTCCTCCTCCTCCTCCTCCTCCTCCTACTCCTCCTCCTCCTCCCCTTCGCCATCCTCCTCCTCCTCCTCTTCTTCATCCTCGTCGCCCCCCTCAGCGTCCTCCTCCTCCTCCTCCTCCTCCTAATCCTCGTCGTCCTCCTCCTTCTCCTCATCCTCCTCCTCCTCCTCCTCCTCCTCCTCATCCTCCTCCTCCTCCTCCTCCTCCTCCTCCTCCTCCTCCTCCTCCTCCTCCTCCTCCTTATCATCATCCTCATCTTTTTCCTCCTCTCCCACCTCTGCGTCCTCCTCCTCCGCATCCTCCTCATCCTCCTCTTCCTCCTCATCATCTTCCTCCTCCTCGTACCCCTCATCCCCCTCATCCTCCTCCTCCGCATCGTCAGCGTCTTCTTCGCGGCTTTTCCGCCTCTTCCCCCTCGCTGCTTGCTTGCCCCTCCTTCCGCCAGATTTTTTCCGCGCTCCGGGTCGGCCCTTATGGTGCAATGCATGACTCGTCGCCTTGCCACTTGCTTCCCTGGCGCCTCGCGTTGTCCCAACTTCCTGTTAGAGTCACAATAGGCTCAGATGTGCCTAAAACGAAAGATAGAGTGCGCAGTCGGATTTCTGCACAGCGGCTTTAAACGTCCATAGCGTTCTGGTCACAGCTTCAAATGACCTGATTCAAATTGGACCTAGAGCGTGTTAATGTCGCCTACAATAGTCAATTTAGATCGCACGATTTCACCAAGTATTGACGACACAGCGTCAGTTTGCACGAACGGCACTATGGCAACCAATATAGTCTTAGAACACAATATAGGAAGAGTTACGAGTTGGGAATGACTCCCAGCTCCTACAAACCCCAAGAGCCGAGGTACAGTGATGTGGAACAGTGCCACACTGTCCCCAACCACGAAGGGTCTCGAAACTACCATTCACAAGGGCCTACACCAAGTGAAATGTTACACTACACAAAGTATTGCAACTATTCTCAATATCTTGAGGTGTACCCTTTTTGCGGGCTTCGCGATCACTTGAATCTTGACACCAAGGCTCTGGTTCTTCACCATAAACTCATCCTTGAGTTCTTAATGGGTCTGATTCACACACCTGCGACACGCCGAACGTTCCACACACGACAAAATGGAAACCGCGCGACACACACAAACGACAAGATAGAAACCGCGCGAGACACACAAACAATGACATAGACACGCGACTAGCGATGACTCGCTATTGACTCGACACACACACATTCGACATCACGACTCATCATTCACACACTATTAAAAGCATGAAATATATATTGTCCCATGCCCTCATACCATTCCATGCACACACGCATGCACGCACATGGACAACAAGCCGAGTGCAAACCGTAGGGTTGCACCAACACTTCCGCGCCTCCGACATCGTCAGCACTACCTGCTGTCTGCCGCCTCTTCGCCCGCGTAGTGATGTCCCTGGCCGGGGCGGTTTCATCCTCTTCCTCCCCCTAAATCTTCCTCTGCCTATGCCTCCCACGTCCACCTGAAGGAGGAGAGCCACCGACGACGGCGATGCCGTGTTGCTCCTCTATAGAATCGTGCTCCCCAGCGTTTTCCTTATCTACCATCGCAGCAGAAACTTCGACCACGGTCGGCTGGATCAGTGTTAGATGGTCTTGCGATGCTTCCGCCTCGGACTCTTGGGTTGCGGCATGCTCGTTGTGGGGAGCGTCGTCGTGGTTTCCCCTGTCGCCGAGCCCTCTCTCTCCGCCGACGGGACTGCAAGACTTTTGCTCCCTCACCCTGGATCTTCCTTGGCGCTGATGGTGCCGTCGTCATTCGGCCCGGGCTCGCTTCCACCAGAGGCATCATCAACAGCTTTTTTTACGGTAGAAACCAGCTTGCGTGGCGCTGGTCGCTTCCCCTTGTCTTCCGCCTTCTTCGCGAACTTCTCCTGTCCAAGCGCGGCCTTTTTTTCCCGCCACTTTTGTCTGTTGACTGCCACGCGCGGCGGACACTTTAGTAGCTTTAGATCCGCTACCACCATCATCCCGATTGTTTTGAAGCGACTGCCTCCTTGCCGCGCGTCGTCCGGCCTGTTCATTTCCTTTTGGCGAGTAACACGTGTCATACTTTTAACGTGCGGAACGGTTGAGCAATTTTACTAAGTGTACCGCACTGGAATGTAACTAAGGCAGAATCGACGGTCTAATCAATCATCTCGCATCAAAAAGGTCCACTTCACCTTTAACTGAAATATTAGTCACTCGTCACAGAGCTAAGGCCCACTATTTAGTCGATTGGTAAGTTACAGGCGATCTGGAAACGCCTGTGACAACCGGCGAGCAGCATCAAAGTTGTGGGCCAGGGGGTGACGGAAGCTGGTGGGTGGGGCACGAGGGTGGTTGGGGTGGCTTGCGAGATTAGAGAGATGATCAGATCAGGCTAGATCGAACGGTGTACCTTTTGCCACCCGATCCTAAACCCACTCACCGCTCGATCACACCTGCTTCACTGGCGGATGTACCGCTTGGCTAGTGCTTTTGTCGCAAACGGAGTCGTTTGAGATGCGTCGTCCAATCAGTGGTGCCAACGTTGCACATACAAGAAAAATATGATTCAAAACTACAACAAAATACAATCCTCAATAAATACGTTGCTCATGTCATAATATGGGGTTGTGGTATGGTAGTGGATTGGGATCATGTGTCACACACTTTGAGCATCCTGAACTATTACTTCTGACAATTGTAGTAAGCACACGTTGAATGCCACAATAGTTATGCGCCGTTGGATGATATCTAAACACGACAATCATTAGTAATGTGAAACCGTTGTTGTATGGAATAGGATTGGGCCCCAACCTTGAGGGGGCTTTCAACAAGGTGCACAAAGGGAGTGGTATGAAACACAGGGCAATCGCAAAAGTGGTGATATGTTTCCGACAACCATGTATCGACAGGGCGACGTTGCAGCGATCAGGCCCATGGCTTGCAACACATGGTGAAACGGTTGTGGTATGGTATTGGATTGGACTCAATTCTTGCATGGACCTTCAACAAGCTGCACAAAGGGAGTGGTATGAAACACAGGGCGATCGCAAAAGCGGTGATATGTTTCCGACAACCATGTATCGATAGGGTGGCGTTGCATCGATCAGGCCCATGGCTTGCATCACATGGTGAAACCGTTATGGTATGGTATTGGATTGGGCTCAATTCTTGCATGGACCTTCAACAAGCTGCACAAAGGGAGTGGTATGAAGCACAGGGAAATCGCACAAGCGGTGATATGTTTTTGACAACCATGTGTCGACAGGGCGACGTTACAGCGATCAGGCCCATGGCTTGTAACACATGGTGAAACCGTTGTGGTATGGTATTGCATTGGGCTCAATTCTTGCATGGACATACATCACGGTGCATAAGGATCCCTAACTCTCGTGTGAAGTGGCGATATACTATTGTGTTGATGAACATAATTAGTTTCAAGCAACACTCTTAGATAAGGGTACGGAGTTTTTGGGTACTTGTCGGATGTTTTCTAACCATACTAGAGAACTGGGAGGGATTACCAACATTGCCGTTGTCAATAAGGGATTGGTTGTGAGCAGGCCCTAAAGTATGGTGGTAAAAAAAATAGGGAAGAAATGATTTTGTATGCAACATGTAACTGAATATTTTCATTACCTGGTTTGGATTAAGGCTCTGGAGGTGCGCACCACTTTGGGCTCACCTACATGGTTGTGTTTTCCCCCCTATAGCAACTCTTGAAAAAATCACAACACCAAACAGATCTCTTCCCTCTCTTTCTTTGCCTCTTGACTCTCACGCACGATTCAAAAACCCAAGCCACGTACTTCTCACCATGCTCGCGACGCGCACTCTCACCAAGCTTGCTATACTCCAGTACATAAGGCCATGCTCACGTCGTGGTCGCTCTAAAAGGGGGCGACGCACCTTGTAGGAAAGGGAAATGTCGTGCTGTGGGCGGTCTGTATCGTGCCTTGTCTCGGCCACGCTGCTCGACCATCGTTAGCCAGTCTTAAACGCTAGCGCTGTCAGAACTATGCTTTTATATGCTCTAGGCTGTAGTGGGGCACTCCTTATGGGGTACAGCCCAATTAGATTTTGCTATACAGACCCTGTACTGCATTCATTCTAGTCATCCTTGTTTCCTATTTCTGACATGGTTTCAGAGCAGGTTCCCTAGTGGGAACGTTTTTAGGGCCCACCACGATTTTTTTTTTCCTTCCTGCCCGAAGCGCGCCTCGCGCCTGCCTCACCTACGCCGTCGCGCGCCCTGCCCCACTGCCGCCCGTTGCAGCCCTGCCCTCCCGGCCCATCGCGGCCCTTCCCTAACGGCCCGTCGTGGCCCTGACCTAGCAGCCCGTCGCGGCCCTGCCCTGTCGCCGCCCGTCGCGGCCTGACCTAGCCGCCCGTCGCGGCCTGACCTAGCCGCCCGTCGCGGCCCTGCCCTGCCGCCCCCCCTCGCGGCCCTGACCTCGCCGCCCGTCGCGGCCCTGCCCTGCCGCCACCCGTCGTGGCCGTGCTCTCAGCCGCTCGTCGCGGCCCTGCTCTACCGCCGCCCCGTCGCGGCCCTGCCCTGCAGCCGCCCTGTCGCGGCCCTGCCCTGCCGCCGCCTCATCGCGGCCCTGCCCTACAGCCGCCCCGTTGCGGCCCTGACCTAACCGCCCATCGCGGCCCAACCCTGCACCCGCCCCTGGTAAGCGCCCGCCCTGCTAAGCGTGCCGCCGCGCCCGCCTGCCTGCCGCGCCGCGCAGCCCAGCCGCGCCGCGCCGCCCAGCCGAGCCGCGCCGCCCAGCCGAGCCGCGCCGCCCTGCCGAGCCGCGACCGCTCTGCCGAGCGGCGCCGCCCTGCCCTACTGAGCCCTGCTGCTACTGCTGCCTCTGCTGCTACTGATGCTACTGCCGCCATGGCTAGCCCTACTGTTCTTACCTTCGATGCTGAGGGTCGTGCGGTAGATTTCGAAGTTTGGGTAGATGACCTGCAGCTCTTTCTTCAGTGCGACTCTAAGGACGGAGTCTCGCTTTTCGATCACACGTCCGGCACCTCTGTTGCACCTCCTGCCACTGCTGACAGTACGGTTCGCTCGCAGTGGACTACTCGTGACACTGTTGCTCGCCTTGCTGTTCGTAGTCACCTGCCGTCTGCTGAGCGCGCGCACTTTGGCCAGTACAAGACTGCTAAGACTCTGTATGACGTTGTAGTCGCGCGCTACTCCTCCCCTGCCACTGCTGCCCTCAGCCGCCTCATGCTGCCGTACTTGTTCCCTGACCTAGCCGCCTTTGCCACAGTCTCTGACCTCATCACCCACCTCCGCACTAGTGACACTCGCTACCGCGCTGCGCTTCCCTCCGAGTTTCGCGCCAAGAACCCCCCCCTATGTACATCACCCTCTTCTACCTCGTCACCCGTCTCCCTGACTCTCTTTGCTCAGTCAGGGACCACTTTCTCTCTCTTTGCCCCACCGAGCTCACCGTTGACCTACTCGAGGAGCACCTCACTACAACTGAGACTAGTATAGTCGCTGTAGGAGCTTCTCGCGGCGACCCTCGTGCCCCTTTCTTTGAGGGGTGTTCCCCCGTTCCCCTTTTGCCCTTTGTTGCTTCTTCTGCTGCTGTCGACCTCGTTGGCACCGA